CACAGATATGTGTTTTCAGAGTTTGTTATATGATTTAAAATTAAATAAAAAAAATTAAGGATTTTTTCATTTTTGTGCTAATATTTACATCGTGACTAGCAGATTTGGGAGGATTACAAGTTAAAATGGGATCCTCGAGAATATGGCGGCATTAAGGATTTGCATTTTCCGGGTGGTAATTCACAAATATGGAGGCCTGATATATTATTGTATAACAGGTGTCTATGATTAGATTTTTTTTACAAAAATAACGGTGAAATGTCAAATTTCAAATAAATGTTTGAAATTGAAAAGTTCATGCTGCACTCGAGATTTTGAAAATGTCAACTTCAATGGCACCAGAAAATTATCTATTATTAGAATAAAAACGATTCTATTATTTTTTACAGTGCTGACGATAATTTCGATTCAACTTTCAAAAGCAATTTATTAGTGTACAGCAACGGAGAAGTGAATTGGATACCACCCGGTATTTTGAAATTCAGTTGTAAATTGGATATTACCTGGTTTCCATTTGACGATCAAGTGTGTGGACTGAAAGTAAGTATTCCGTTCCGGAAATTAATATTCTGTCCCGGGAAGTAAGTATTCTATTCTGATTCCTGGAACAGAATACTTTTAATTAACAGGTATGATATGGAAAATTAACTAATAAAAACTATTAAAATCTATAATGCATTTTTTTCATTTAATCATATCAAAAATTTTCCGAATAAAATATTTAGAATAATTACATCCGACGTATGATTTTTTTTAACAATGCTAATTTAACAATGTCAATATTAACAATTTAACAGTTTCAAAAGTAGTTGCAGAAAATAGTTATGGTAATCTTAAAGAGAATCGGATAGTAAATGAGACTGTTCGTTTCATTATTAGTGATAGAATAAATTTTTATACTTATATGACAAAAAAAAATAGCAATTTAAATTCTGAATTATGTCGAATCAATCAATACACCTTTAAGCAATATGCATTTTATTTTAAATTCAAAATTGTGCCGAATCATTCGATGTATCTTTAATGTATTATGCATTTCATTGGTAGTACATGACCCTGCAAAAGCATCTTTATCGTACTTTACTTAACCAACTACAACAAGTTTCTTTAAAGTTTGGCTCATGGACACATAATGGATTCGCGTTAGATTTACAAATTGATGCGGATGATAGTAATTCAAGTAATATTTTTATTCAATTACTGAAGTTACGGATGAAATATTTCTGCAGTCGTTTAATTAAATTTTCATTCTTCCTTACGTATATTGTATTTAGTAAGCCAAGAAAATTGCTAACAATTATAGTTCAATAATTAATTAAGCTAAATTTTTCCCTAATAATTGTTTTTTTTTTTTTTGTTCGCTTTATAATTATGTCAAGAGTAAATGAATTGATTGTTGCGCTTTTTTTTTAATGATCTTTTTTTTCTATACATTTTGTTTATTAATTTATTTTCATTATTTAAGCGCATCAAATGGATATTAGTGATTATGTGCTAAATGGTGAATGGGATTTAATTGCAACGCCAGCTGTACGTAGTGTTAAACGTTTTGTATGCTGTCCGGAACCTTATCCAACAATTATATTTTATATGCATATCCGTCGTAGAACTCTGTACTATGGTTTGTCTACTAATTAATCAATTTTGCTTATTTCCGTATTTTATTAAATTAACTACTAAATTTTACAATTTAGATGGAATATCATTGCCATGGCACTTACTATATATTCAATTCTAATTTTTAATATATAGATGCTAAACCTTAAATTTGTACAGTTTATTTATACCCTATTGTTTATATCATTTAATTAAAAATCGAATTTAATCGAAATATTTTAAGGAATTTAAATTTTGCCTTATTTTTAACTAATGAATTTTATGATCAATAATATAACAGTTGAAAAATTTAAATAAGACTTTACAATTTTTGTTTTTAAGGCTTCAATTTGCTTATACCAAGCTTGCTAATCTCTTTGATAACTATGCTTGGTTTTACATTACCACCAGATGCCGGAGAAAAGATTACATTAGGTTTGATTCTATGTGTTATTTTTGTTGCGAATTTTATCAAATCATTGTTATTTTTTGTTGCAAATATTAAGATTTTCAAATTTCGAAATTAAAAATTTGAAATAATTTTCAGGAATTTCAAAACTAGATAAATACATTGATTTGAATATGTTTATTTGATAAAATATTTGCAGAAATCACAATTCTACTGTCCATTTCATTCTTTTTGAGTATGGTTGCTGAAATGACACCTGCAACTAGCGAAGCTGTACCATTAATCGGTTCGTTTACTTTTTTTCCATTTTTTTAAAAAAAAAATAAATTTCTCATGGAAATCAAAAAGATTGAGAATTGAAGGATTGCCTTATTCATCTACTATAATCTCAGATATCATCATTAATCTCCGTTAATTAATTTATTTAGTCATAATTAAAAATTGCTAAGGAATTTGAATTTTGCATTATTTAACTATTACATTTTTTCAAATTTTCTGATCAAAAATGTAGCAATAAGACTACTTACTGATCTAATTGTGAGATTGATTGATTGACCTATCTATCTACTATCATCTCAGACATCATCATGACCTTTATCAGCTAATTTATTTGTTCTTCGTTATTTAGGAGTATTTTTTTCATGCTGCATGTTGGTTGTGTCAGCATCTGTCGTTTTCACCGTCGTCGTAATTAATTTACATTTTCGGACACCCGAAAGTCACATTATGACGCCACTTGTATTTTTTTCGTTAAATTTTTTCAAAACAATTTGAGAATTTGAAATAACTTTCAGGAATTTCAAAAGTTGATAGTACTAATAACATTATTAATAGCACGTAATTTGAAAATGCTTATACTCATCCGTTAAGAACAATTAAAACGATCACTATTTTCTATTATTCAATAATTAGGAAGAAGAAAAAAAGAATGCTACTTTAAGGTTCGACGGATATTATTGGAATGGCTCCCATGGTTATTAATGATGTCACGACCTGGTACTGTATACAGTTGTGGTAAAGCATTAACAGAATCGGAAACAAGCAGTAGAACGAAAGAAGATGAATATAATCCGTTTGTTGAAGAAATTTTATCGGGAAGAAATGCTTCTGATGCACAAATCTTATTGCTTCATCAGCTTTATTTAAAATTGAAACAGGTATTGTATTTTGAAGAACAGTTTTAATAAACAGTTTTGCAATTGTAACTTTAATATAAATTAAAATCAACCAAATATAAATCAATTAAACAATTAAACTTAATTAAAGTTTAAATCAACAAATCAATTAAACTTAACTGCTGAATTCATTGCACTTACTGTTAGACTATTATTATTTGTTCATACCAAATATTGGACTTAAGTTAATGTGATAGTATAAAAAACTTTTATTTTTAAAATGAATTTTTAGCTTCCATACTTGAAAAAAATAAATAAATAAAAATTCATCAAATTTATTCTTTCATTTCAGATTACGGATTAAATGATCAAATTTTGTTTTCAGATCACTGATCAAATGAAAGAAGATGAAGAAACAGAAAGTTTACGAAATGATTGGAAATTCAGTGCGATGGTTGTTGATCGAGCATGTCTTATTTGTTTCTCATTATTTACTACACTATCAACGTTTTCTATTATACTTAGTGCTCCACATTTAACTGTATGAAAAAATTTTTCAATATTATTGATTTTTTTTTCTGCACGAAAAAAAAAATGCTATCCATTAGTGAAAAATTATTTTTTATAATCATAGCTTTGATTTTAATCATTTTCATTGTAAATTACAATTAGCCAAATGCGAAGTAATGTCATCAAAACAATTAGCAATATTTCCAATTGACGATTAATTTTTATTTCTAAAACATTTTATATAATTAAATAAATTTTCAAGGAAATTTGACTGAATAATTTGAAGAAAGATATGAATGAGTATGTAATTAAAAGGTTAATATGGTAACAGAAATAAACAAATGTATGGTAAATAAATGATGTTAAAGATAACTTTTTTGCTGCTTCAAAAAAATGCATATTTTTATTAATTAACTCTTAAATATTAATAGTTGTGTAAATTATTTAACTAGTTAAAGTAATAAAAATTGTGGGATAAATAAATTCGAAGCAAATTACGGGAGTGAAAATTGAAATATGCTGTTCCAAATAATCAAAAAATAGCAATATGCATATTTGAGTGACTGAATTTTTTTTTCTTGTAAACTCAGATCTTTTCTTGAATCAAATATCAAATGTAGTCTAAAATGAAAAATCATTACAAAATTCCCACAAACTTTTGACACCCAAAAAAATCAAGCAAAAAAAAGAATGAGGAAATGAAAATATTAAAAACTCTCGAAATGCATGATCATCTATCTAATCAACACGCTTAACGTTTAACATTTATTTAAAAATTTTTACAAAATTTGTGCAATTAAAAATATTGGTTTACTTGGAAATTATACATTTCATGAGTTTTTTTTTTTCATGATAGTTCTTCCTGATATGCAAATTTCACGATTACGTCATTATTTGAGTGCATAATTTTTCTGACTGAATACATAATGCATAATTTATGCTAATATATATTCCTCAGCATCACGAAAAATGTTGAAATAAACAGAAGCTTCGATCCCATTCCTTTAATTTTGATTGAAAATTTTCTGTCACTCAAAATGAAAATGATGAATCGGTTAGTCATAGCGCTACTCAAAACATTCCATCTAATCTAACGCTTAACATTTGAATTCTTCCTCCCTGACCTTTTATAGCACCATAAACATCAATCAGGTTAGCAAAATCAGTTTAATAAGATTAAGTCACTAAATCTTTCATTACTATCAATTGCTAATTAGTAATGATTGAAAGTTTTTTTGAGTATAATTTCTACATATAATTTTAGAAACTTTTAATCGTTTCAAATTATAATTTTAAAATTACATAGCATTTTGGAATGTTATCATTTCAAATTGATCAGTATGCTATGAAAAATGAGTGCTATTTGAAATATCTTTCAAAAATCTTCAAGGCTGTATAGAGTGGAAAAAAAAATAGAAATTCAAAATCGATATAAAATCACCTTTCGCCTTTTGAATCACAATTTTTTTTTTTGGATCGCAAAAAAAAAGAATTGAATTGCAGTGATTAATCTTTCATGCAAGAAATTAAAAACCAAAAATTAAAAAATAAATGAAATACTGTTGGTAATAAAATGGACAAAAAAAAACATTGGTATTTTTGTGCTGAAATCATTGTTAACTGAATGTAACAGTTCCGCCTGGCTTTTTTTTTTCATTGCTCAAACTTAAGCACTGAGAATTTTGAAAAAAATGGAACAATCAAACTTTTTTTTTTACGAAAATTTAAAGCTTAATTTTTTTCCTTCTTTTTAACTGTTCCATTTTGCAATAACTTTTAAGCAAACACTTATTTTACATTTGTTGTAATATATTTTTCTTCATCCATTCTTTGATTTTATACATTTTAATTTAATTCCTTATATGATTACCATGTGAAATCAAAAGAAACAGTTACTTAGTTAAAAATTTCAAGTTTTTTAATTAAAAATTAAGTTTTCTTTATCACCATTCTTTTTTTTGCTTTTCTTTTATCACATTTTCCTACAGGTTATCGTTTGAATTAGTCGGGAACAAATACTTGTCGAATTCTTCTATATGGAAAGAATTTGCTTTTTATCTGACAATCTTCCAACTAATTCTATTCGTTCAAATTCATAGAACATATACGATTATCCTTCATTTATATTATTTATTATTTCCAAACATTGTTGACATCTGAAAATTTCATTTTGAAATGAAATTAATTTAAATACAAAAAGCAAAGAAAGTTGTGTCAAAGTTATATCAGTTATAATAGGTACAGCACGAATAAGTTTTTCAATCAACTCATTAATCTTATTTATCATAAAAGGTTGACATTTTTAATGAGCGTATTGTTTGAGAAAAAAATTCCTTCTAAATTTAATATTAAATTTATCATTCCTTCAAATAATGCTCCTTTATGAAACATTATTTTTTTCTCATCATTCTCTTCTTCTTCTTTCAAATAAAGGAAGGAAGGAGAAAAAGAAAACAGAAGAAAATGAAACAAAAAAAAAAAAATTAATGATTCAAAAACTTTTTTTTCAACATTTTTTTCAACGCTTCATTTAATATTTATTGTCAATTTTTACGATTTATTATGTGTCGGAAAAAGATTGTTGAAAATTTTTTAAAAAAAAAGAAAAAAAATTGGACTATCGGAAATTTTTTTTCATTTTTTTTTAATTTACAAAGAAAATCAATAATGCATATTTATTTGTCGTAGTTGTAAATGTATTAATAATGTTTCGTACTGTGATCACTTAGCTAAATCACTAAGAGCTTTCGTAATTTGTCTTTGATTAATTTCAATTTCATTCAAAACAAATTTCACATCCATGTTCTGTTTAAAATAATTCTGTAAACTATTTTATCTTATCGCCATCCTTATTTCTCCTTCTTCTTTTCAGTTCAAAAATTTAACAATTTCATTTGAATTAGCTTCAAATATAGTTGAGAGCATTTTAGGTTCCATTAAAAGAATTAATCTACAACATTATAAGCATATCGTAATAAATTTAATTTAAAAAAAAAAAAAACTTTCATTTAGATTTTATTTCATTGGAAGGATGAAAGAGTTCAAGTGTCAAACGGCTTAATGCATCAAACAGTTTAGCAAATCGATATTCGAAAATTGGAAAGTGAAGAGCAAGAAGATTGGATTTGTGAGATTTTTTCATAAATTATTGTCATCATCATCATCAATGGATGGCCTTGTTTCTTTCGTTTGTTCATTAAAAATTCAGCACAACTGAGAAAAAAAAAAACCGACAACTCATCTTACCAACCTCTCAGATGGATGATCGATGATAATGTAACGAATCCATTCCTGTCTGCAACAATCCGCTTCATCATCATCCCTATTTACTTTAAATTGATTTCTCTTGAAAATTTCAATTAAAGAATATCATTGAAAGAAATAAAAATTTTACTCCATCAATACACACTACTACTGCTATATATGATTTTATTTTGATTCTAAATTTTTATTTTAATTTCTTTTTTCAAT